GGGAATCAGGGGGCCCCATCTGATAGGCCTATTGGCGAAACATATTTGCAGAACACAATGACCCAAAGTGTTTAAGTTAGAATCCACTCACCACTCAAAATGCCAAGTTTTTGTCAAGTGCTGAGTTCTGCAAGCTCTGGAATCCTTTCATTATAACAAAGTGTAGATACGATGTAAATAAGAGATTCATTGTGCCGTGTAGAGAGCTTATTGACGGAGTGTGTAAGATGGCAATGAACTGAAGTGAGTGACAGCTTTTAGTGATTATATGAGGGAGCGCTCTTTTTGTGCATTCTAGGCTGTATAATACTGTCTGACTGTCTCAGAACAGGGATATTCACCTCAGTAAAGAAATTACTGTGTTTCAAGTCATTTTATTACCATTTTATTTGTCTTGATGTTTCAAAGTGCTTTTCCTAGGCGCGCCGGCGCGAACTGCCGCGCATTCGTATAAATCCACGAATGTAATGACTGGAGATTTTCGCTTAATAATAGGCTAACTTAGATTACATTTTCGATTTCTTTCTCGGCAAACCCTATACTGTATGCCTTCAGAACACTTGGAATATGAAATGAGTTGCATGGGATAATTTTATGTTAGTAAAAAGAATGAAAAAGTTTACGATTTATTAAATGGACAAGTGAAATCATTCTTTTTTTGGGGTGAATTTTCTTTTGTGATCCAAAAAAACAAAAAAAACAAAAAAATAAGATAGCCTAATATGGCTTTATAACAGCATCAGGTTGACTTATTACTGGTTGTGAAAGGATAAATAACCTATAAACTATGAGAGCAAGTGAGCAAAATAAGGGTTAGGCTTAAAAGAGCACATAGTTATTCTGTTGGGGCCCCATACCTGGTATTTGCTTAGGGCCCCCAAATCACTAAGTCCGCCCCTGGCTGTCTGTTTTCATGTGTGGTTTTAGTAACTTACAGTGATGGAGAAATGAGCTGTGTGTCATCTGAATGTTTTAGATCCAGTCTCCGGTCAGTTTTGTGTTCTGCGCGCGACTCAAATGCTCCGCTCTCCACACAAATATAAAAGCTGCTGTCGGTTAATGAAGATCTGACGGATGAACTTGCGGCTCAGTTGGACTCTTGTCGTGTCAGAAAGTGATAAGTCTTTCAGTTTTATGGACGTCGCCATCTTTGATATTTCTTTGGTCACTGTCGCTATGGTAACTGGTAAGGAATACGGCTTGACTCCCGTTGCACGTTCATACAGACAGAGAGAGTATTCGAGACGCTGCTGTAAGCTGCTGTGTAAACGTGACATTTCGAGACTCACACCTGTAAGTAAATGCGGTTGTCAGTCTCAAACACTGACTGTGTGAATGTAGCCATAGACAGACAGATGTGTTCATGTTAACCTGTTCCTCGTGGAGTGGAAATGATGCTAATAAGCTTTCCTGTATTTTACCTGCGGGTGCTAATTTGAATTCCTGCTAGTGTCTCTATTACGGCAGCCATCAACCTCTACTCGACGTCAGTATTGCCACTCAAGTGCCACATCTTATTCCTTGAACAATGAGCAGAAAGTCACATTGTGATTCTAATGAATAACATCAAACAAGCACATCACTTCAAGATGAAACAGTATTTCTTATGCTTCTGATTCGTACAATGTGTAGTTTCAAAATGGCATCCAGTGAGGTTTTTATTATTATCTCACATATGTACTGTACTGACTCAAACTGGATGTTTAGTTTGCTCGTTCCTAGTTAAGCATGCTAGCGTGTTTGGTTTACTTACGCTCAGGAGCAATGGGCGGTTCTGTTTGACCGCGCCCACACAGCCCAGGCAGCCAATCAGCATGATGATGCTTCCAACAGCGATGAGCAGATTGGCGGCAGAGAGCGACGGTAGAGACGAGGAGAGCGTGGCGAAGTTTCCCTGCGTGATGGAAAGCCAAACTCCCACTCCCAGAATCCCACAGCCGCCCAGCTGAGAGAGAGAACAACACCGAGCTGACGGAAATACTCAAAACCACAAATGCTGTGCATAATAACAGGCTAGTACACACAAACATTTCTTATTATACAATTGGCATACATTCGTTTTAGTGCCACTAATCAAGAACTGTTTTAATGTACCATTTCACATTTCTAATGATTAAATAGGGCATGTTCTGTTCCACACTGAGTGAGAGATGTGCTTATATGTATAAAACATTGCTCAGGCTCATTAAAATGCAGTCTGCCAGTACGGTAGATTTAGAGGCTCTCCAGGGTAAAGTGCTGTAGAATACCGTAGTGTAACGTGTGGTCGTGGGAAAGAGAAGCGGAGGATCCAAATGCAGGAAACGTTTAGTACAACAAAAACACAAAGTACATCCAGGCACAGGGCAAAGAAACAAGGCAAGACAAGGGCACACGAAAACAGCCATAAAGGAAACAACACCAGACAAAGAACCATGACAAACACAGGGGTTAAAGGGATAGTTCACCCAAAAATGAAAATTACCCCATAATTTACTCGCCCTCAAGCCATCCTAGGTGTATATGACTTTCTTCTTTCAGACGAATACAAACGTGTGGTCGTGGGAAAGAGAAGCGGAGGATCCAAATGCAGCAAACGTTTAGTACAACAAAAACACAAAGTACATGCAGGCACAGGGCAAAGAAACAAGGCAAGACAAGGGCACACGAAAACAGCCATAAAGGAAACAACACCAGACAAAGAACCATGACAAACACAGGGGTTAAAGGGATAGTTCACCCAAAAATGAAAAGTACCCCATAATTTACTCACCCTCAAGCCATCCTAGCTGTATCTGACTTTCTTCTTTCAGACTGTCAGATACAATCGGAGTTATATTAAAAAATGTCCTGGCTCTTCCGAGTTTTGTAATGGCAGTGAATGGGTGTCGAAATTTTGAAGCAAAATAAAGTGCGTTCATCCACCATAAAAAGTGCTCCACGCGGCTCCGGGGGTGAATAAAGTCCTTCTTTCCTTCGATTCTGAAGAGAATCGATGCATTTGTGTAAGAAAAATATCCATATTTAAAACTTTATAACCTGTAATCTCTAGCTTCCGCTAACTGTGGTACACGTGTTCACGAGAGAGTGGGGTTCCGGCGGATGATGTAGGACACAGGCGTAGCGTGAGCTCCAGTGAGAAGATGCTAGTCTCGCGAGAACCAAGTTTTGTTTACAGTGAAGGAAAATCAGTCTCCTCTCAGAAATCCTCCGACATTTTTCTTTACAAATCCTTGTTTTGTACTTCTAATTCATGACCGGTGTTTTGTTTTGCTCTCTCCTCTGCACTTCCACATTCGTCACTTCTCACCGGAGCTTACGCTACACCAACGTCTTGCGTCATCCGCTGGAACACCACTCTCTCATGGACGACAGTTAGCAGAAGCTATTACGGTGTATAACGTTTTAAATATGGATATTTCTCTTACACAAATGCATCGATTCACTTCAGAAGGACTTTATTAACCCCCGGAGCCATGTGGAGCACTTTTTATGATGGATGGATGCACTTTTTTGGGCTTCAAAATCTCGACACCCATTCATTGCCATTATAAAGCTTGGAAGAGCCAGGACATTTTAAAATATAACTCAGATTGTATTCGTCTGAAAGAAGAAAGTCATACACATCTAGAATGGCTTGAGGGTGAGTAAATTATGGGGTAATTTTCATTTTTGGAACTATTCCTTTAAATAGACAGGTAACAAGATAACAAGAGGGTGGAGCTAATCAGTCACCAAGACAACTAACAAGGGGGAACCATGGAGACAAACAAGCAGGCAAAGGAACAGGAACTAAACACAGCAACAAAGAGAACACAGAAAACATTTCAACATAAAAGTCCTTGAACAAGACAGGGGCACAAGACAAGAATCATAACACGTAGTAACACAATGTCTGTTGTCTTCTTTAAAATCTGCTTTCAAAAGGGTCTGTTTTGAAAAAGCCTCTGTGAAACATTTCAGTCAGATGTCAAATTGATCCTTACTCAAGCATGAAAAAAAAATCCAATTCTTCTCATATCAAAGAGTTCAAATGGAAATTCAACTCTAAGCTGCCTCATCCAACAGATCAGCTTTGACAGTATGAATGCTGAAGCCACTGGTCAAGTCTTTTTCATGGCTGTGTGTGTGTTTGTGCAGGAGTGGAAGCGTTAGTACACAGTAAACATTAAACACCCTGAAACAGTTGTATTTGCTAAAAAGTTGTAGACCGTGAGGCAGGCAGTTCCCTTTGACTGTAATGAATTCTGATTTGCCAGTGATTATTAAATAACAAATGAAACTGGAAGCCAACAACTGTGCTAAAATCGTTATATTCACTAGCATAGTAATGAGGAAATCACCTGCTTCAAAAGCACCACTGATCATGTCTCTGCTGCTGGATCTCAAGCCGAGGTCAAAAGAAGAGGCAGCAATAAGATGATTGGGCTTCACCTGTGCTGTAGCCTCAATACTGCTGGCTCTGTGAGGAAGTTCTTAATCTGCTTTATTGTAAGTCGCTTAGGATAAAAGCATCTGCTAAACACATGTAAATGTTAATGTGAAGTTCATGCAAGAAATGTCCTACACATATAAAGGCCAAATGTGCTGCTGTAGTGTCAACAGTGTTTGGATGGAAATGAGTCTAAATGAGTCCAAACCTGTGTCTGTCTTTTTCATTAATGTTAAAAGGCATTTGTGTGAGATGCTGCTGAATTAAGCTCTGATCACTGCAGAGTTTCTGAACTCAGATAATCACACTCTTGATCCTACGCATGAATCTAAGCTCAACTCTACGCATATCCAAACTCAACAGCAGCAAAGCGAATCTCACAAGAATTCTCAAGAACAACATCAGTACACAATTAGCACACTGTATCAAATGCTTAATTTTTGAAAATATGTACACAGTATGCTAGTTAAAGCGCCTCATATAAAGTTTAGACCTTTACATATCTTTACAGAATCAGTGAATGTGGATCAATCATTAAGTTGGCGCAGTTTTGTCTGGCACCCATTTATGACCCAGAAAACAACCCTGATCCACCCCACTTCGGTCTCCGGCCCTGACGTGAATGACTTTCACTCATGTGCTTTCTGATTACGTCATCTTTATAAATGGGTGGCTCATCTGATCAGATTGTATTCTTGGATGTTAGTTTGGCTCGCCGTGGGTTTGTGATGTGAGTTTATTCTGCTTTCTCCGAGTCTGAGCGCCACTGTTGCTTCATTCTGTGTTTGTGTTTGTGTTAGTCAGAACCGACATGCAGTGGCACAAACGCTTACATCACTGTCCTTTCATCTGTATCCAGGATTCAATTCACTCAGCAGTCACCATTCACAGCATCAGAGTCACAGGTCAAATAATGTTACGGTTTGTGAGCACAGTTAGTGATCGAGCCAATAGGATGTGAAATAGTGATTCATCTTCAATAAATAAATGCACAAATAACATGTCCTGGAAAAAATTATGTATAATAGCATGCTGCCTAATAACCTGATGACTGAAAATCTATTTGAACCATCACTTAACTATTATTGTTCTGAAGACCATGTGAACAAAAGTAAGCAGTTTTCATGTAAACATGTTTGGGCACTAAATAAAACAGAATGCTGTTAATATACAGCAGGGTTATTTCTGGATTTTGACAATACTGTTTTCATAAGTAATTTTATGAAAAATTTGCGGCTGGTTTATTTGACGTCAGTGATGCTCTAAGGAGTTCGACTCTTCAGGCCTGTAGATGATGGAGAAGCTCCTGCTTTGTGATGCAGCTGGTCTGGATCTGTTCCTAGGCGTCGTCTTGTCTCTCCAGCACCCTGCTGCTCACACACCTGTTCTTCTGTTTCTCTCTTCCTCTCTCTCACGTCCTTCATCCCTTCATTCATGCAGTTCACAGAGACTCTGCTTTCTACACTCTCCTGCCTTGTTAGCGGATAGTGCAGCGCATTGTGTCATCATTAGCGGCCGCTAACTCGTTTATGCAGGTGTGAAACGTGTTTGTCTTGCTGATTTGGGTCAGTGTGTTCCCCGGGGCCGACGTGCCGCAGATACAGGGACACAGCTGCATGAGGCACAATGCTGCCTGACTGCAATATTAATACGGAAGCATGCGGTGCTGTTAGCTGAGCGCAACACAGACGCCTAGATCTGATGCTTAGTGCAGACGCACAGGATGAGGCTGTTCTTCTGCATGAGATGGAGAGAGCATCTGTTGTGAGTTAGAGATGCTGGAGGTTGGAGAGATCTACTATTGCACATTCACACTGCTCATCTACAGAGAACAAACATACTTACATTCTGATCTGATTCTGATACTGATCTGCCATTCTGTAATCTTCCTGTAGTACATTCAAAATCCATAAACGCATGTGATTTTTATATGACATAAACATGACATATTTAGTCATACTCACTCACTCACTCACTCACTCACTCACACACA